CCCTCCCCTCTGACCTCAACCACCCCTTCCACATAGCGACCCTTCCTTCATGACCCTGTAAAGTGGTATGGTAGTGTCATCACCACTGGCCTCCTATAGGGGCAGAAAAAAAAACGCAACAAATAACAAAAATGAGAGGGGGAAAATGAAAGAGGAAAGAAGCGGAGTATGTGCGGAAAGCGCAACGTGAGCACCCTAGATGATCGACCAGCTGGTACAGTCGCCTTTAGCCCGCCCAGCATCGCTTGTAGTCGAACTAAACGGTGTGGTTTCGATGCTCCTCCTCTCTATCGTTTTCTTCTTCTCTCCGTCTTGCCGAAGAGGGCCCCGCGGCGGCGGACCGAACGGCGGGCCGGGCGGATATACACCGACGTGACCTCTGGCCTGGCATTCCATTTCATAACACGTGAAATGTACTCTGCACGCCGTGGCGCGGCGGCGGTGGGCGAACACTGCAATGCTAGACTACGCGCGTCGGATCGATCCACATCCGATTTCACGCCTGTCAGTGAGAGCGAACTGCACTTAGGCCCCTATAGCCCGCCCGCCTGCCGACAAAAGGTGAGGTAGAAGAAAGGGAGAGTGGGGGGGGGGAGAGAGAGAGAGAGAGAGAGAGAGAGAGAGAGAGAGAGAGAGAGAGAGACAGACAGACAGATTAAGGCGGTCGAATGTGAATGTGGTCGAACGTTCGAAGACTCTGTGTGCCCCCTCTGACATTTTGGTGCGGCTGCTCGCCTGATACAGATGTGAGCCTGGCGCCGTGTGCGGCTGCAGCCGCGCAGACTGCATCGCAAGTAACGGAGCGCCTCCCTTCTATTTGCCTTGTCTGTCAAAGCTTCCTGTTGGGTCGATGGATGGATGGCACCTGCCTAGTTAACGATTCTTCCTCCTCTTCTTCTTGCTTCGGTCGTTGCGAGCTGGGAGCTGGGATGAAGTGCGTGGGGTGGCGTAGCATTTGGCCTAGGGGCGTATGTTCGCATGTGTGTGTGAGGTGTGTGTGTGTGTGGGAGTGCGTGAGCTGGAGACGCCCGACCGCCTGTCTGCTTGCTTATGTGCCACAAATTGTATAAGGGGCGGTGCGTGGCTGATTACGGCTGAAGACGTTGCCGACCGGACCGGTATGAGGAGAAGGGGGAGGGGGCTGACCCGTGTGTGTTAAGTATATTATTCGCGCCGTGCGGTGGGTGTGTCGTTATTTTACTAATAATGCCGGTCCAATCACGGGACGCAGAGCACGACTTTCACTGGAACTTGATTTTAAGACTATTATATGCGACGAGTCGGGCTGTTATGGCTCCTCCTCCCGTTCACGTTACGGAGCTCTAATTCGCAAATTTGCGAAACAAAATTGTCAGCCCTTATGTCTTGTATATCACCACGATAAAGTTTTTTTTAAGGGAATGGGGAAAACTTTGAGGAACATTCATATTTGAGAAGTTTCTCAAGTTGTTTACAACTTTTCAGAGTTTAGGAAGTCTGCTCAAAACATTAAGAAAATCCCACATTTTTGAGGAATTTCCTCAAATCTGAGAAGCTTTTCCTCAAATATGAGAGTTTTCCCTTTTCCTTAAAAAAAATCAGACATTGTCCTTATTGTGTCTCCGTAATAATTGGCTGAGCGATTAGCGAAGCCCATTACTCCACTGACCGGAAAAGTTTCATTCTGTTTGTTTGTCTGTCTGTCTGTCTGTCCGTCTGTCCGCACGATAACTCGCGAAAGAATTGAGAGAGCGATCTGGGAATTTCAGGGTCATTTTTTAACATAAAAAGACAGATCGAGTTCGAAGATGAGCATTCTAGCTCAAAAATTGACTTTAAAAAAAATCAAAAACCACAGGTCACAGAATAATTTTTTTCTCAAATATTTGTTTATGGTCTTCTAAGGGGTAACTCGTGAAAGTAGAACTCTCTGGGCGAAAATTTCGTCCCTTTGACTCTATCTTGTACCGTTTGGGTGCTAGGAGGCATTTCTTGATAAAAATGAAGCGAAAATGACCAAATGGTCTATTAAATCGTGAAAAAACACTTATTCTCTCGAAAAATTGTACATTTACTCATATTAACCTGTTTAGGGTGTCAGCGCCGCAGGCCTAGCTATATGTGCGCCAGGCGCGTCGCAGCGTAAGTGTTTCGTGAGATATCGCGAAGCCTGTTACGCGAGACGTGGTCTGGCGTACATATAGCTAGTTGTAACTTGAGAGATCCAATAGTGAATGACTCCTTCCTACAATTGACTAATAGAGATGGGTAGATAAAAAAAAAGAGGGATCTGTTTGTTTTTTTTCTAAAATATGCTCAGTCTAAACGCTGTACACTCTCTTTTTTTTAATAAGCTGTGCTGGTGCAGCGGCGATGCGGCGCAGCCACCCCGGTGCAATCCGTCGAGGGAGGGCATTAGCTGCGGCGTCGGAAACGCTAATAAAATAACTCTTCTTGTTGCGGCAGCCGCCCAGTCTCGCTTGTCCACTAAATCCCGCGGCGTTTTCACCGCCATTATCGCTGTTGAATGTAGAGGTGATAACTGTCGCGCGTTGCTTACCATCGCACTTGCTCGCGAGTGCAAGGCGGGGCAGGCCTTTCCTGACGCTTCTCGCAGAGGAGTGCCGGGCGGGTGGCTGAGCTGCGCCGGTGGTGGATGGTGGATCCACTTGCTGGTGGTGGCCCCGTGGGCCCATATCGCGCGGCCTAGCGTAGCGTGGTGGTGTGGCTGCGGCCGAACCATTCCCCTCAGTAGGCACATTTTATTACATTGTTATATTTTTGGCCCCTTCTCTCCGGGCGGTGGTGGGTGTGGCCGCCGCAGGGCCACAACACACATCACTTCAATCTCTCTCTCCCCATCTCTCTCTCTCTCTCACACACACACGAGCGCGCGGGCATCACGAATGGACTGACTCAGCTGGGGTGTGTGTTTCCGATACGATCCCATCACTCCCAATCCCTCGTGCACCCTCCCTACCCCTTCTTCTCTTCTTCGCGCAAAAGCAAATGATTAGCCCGCTGATTATAAGCTGAATTCGAGCACCTTCTAATAGGAGAAACTTTGGTTCGGAGTTGAGCTAGGCCTGCTGGAGGGTGAACATGAGTATTGTGTGAAAAGAAATTGGCCGGGGAAGTTAATGTTTTCCAAATAATGATTTCGTTCTGTTTTTCGCAAGGGGCCACTTGTCAGGGCCATGCCATGGTACAAACTGTTGGACCTAAATACCGTCCGTGTTGCCACACTGTGAAAAATGTCGTCGTAAATTCACAAAATGTTTGTAAACTCGAATTATAATTTAAGTTGTAAATATATGAAAGCATATTTTTCATTCGCCAAAGGATTTGAAGTCAGTACGTAATGCATGTATTTTGCGGTTACAAATTGCTCTGGAAACTCAGGTGTGAGACAGTAGCACGCCAAATGGTGTGAGACTGTATACCTCACACCAAACGGTGTGAGGCAAACATACCCAACACCAAATGGTGTGAGACTCATCGTGCCTCGCAGCAAATGGAGTGATACTTCCTCATAACAAATGGTTTGAGGCACAGGGGGGGTCTCACACTCACACTACTTGGTGTGAG